TTCCCACTCTTACTTCACATTTTCCACTTTCACTTCCCACTTTCCACTCTCACTTCACATTTTCCAATCCCTCCACCCAGCTTTCACTTTCCATTCCCACTCTTACTTCCCACTTTTCACTTTCAACCTTCCTCTCCTACTTTTTACTCCAATTTCTACTTTCCACCTTTCTCTTTCCATTCCCACTTTTTATTTTCACTTTCCCTTCATTTGGAGTAAAAAATGTGAAACACGAGTGGGAGTGGAAGATAAAAAGTGGAAGTGGAAAGTGAGGGTGGAAAAGTTACAGAATCGACCCTGAGGGAGTAAACTATATGTTTTTATTTCCACACGTAGTAAAAATTTCTAAGTACAAACATAAATAAATAATTTTTACGTTTAGATAGCACAGCTCAATCACATAATTACGATTAGACACTAATTAGAAGAGCACAGTGTATAAAGTTAGTAGGGGAGTGTGTCTAGGTATGAGACGGGTTTTGTTTCTGACCCATAAATTGTAAATGAGTGAACGAAATTGTAAATAAAATATACCGTTCGAAAAGTAACTTCAATAGGCAATTTTTATTCAGAGAAAGTGTAGTGTTCAGATCGACTCAAAAAAAGTTATGATCAATTTTCCGAGCACATCGCTTTTGTCAACAACAAGAAATGTGTCCAGTTGTGAGACACTTATAAAAGAATGCTAAAATTTAAAAAGTTTGGCATAAAACGTTATGTTGACTATAAATAATTAAATATACTAATAGTATATAATCTTATATACTAAATAATAATATTTATTAAACAAAATATGACTATCAAATAAGCACAAATTAATAGTTTCAAAAGAGCTTTAAAATTTATTTCTTCTAAATCGGTTGACTTTCTTCCACTTGACATGATCAAAAATACAAGAAAAAAATCAAAACAAAGTCTTATTTTTTATACTGCTCAGATGAATGTCGACACCGTCTCACAACTCGTGATATGCTGTGTCTCACATCTAGAAATTGGCGCTATTTTGAAAAAGGAAAATTAAATTATTTTCAGCCGCAGATTGGAACAATGCAATATTGCATCACAAAATATAAGGAAAATACAAAAAGAAAATGAATTACATTTACCTTTTCCAATTAATTAACTTGGAAAAAAAGTACTTTGCATTTATTGAAAATACGCTTTTTAGTTGATTATCACACACAGTGTTGGCATCTAATAAAAACAGTTTATATATCCGCTTCGGCGTACACGAAAAAGTTGGCTCATATAAAAAGAAATGTTTTTATATAAACGCAATCGGCGTTTTAATATTGCGTGTTAAAAAAATCGACTGTCTCACAACTGAACGTACTCCCATAAATGTATTAATTTCGTACAGTGTGAGGTCTTTGACCCAAAGGTAAACAGAAGAACTAATAAGAGAAAAGTCAAGACAAAGCAAACAAGAATGAAAATTATGAATATTTTTTTCGTTAAAAAAATGAGTATAATAATTGTTGAGAATTCTCTCCTTTATATTGATTGGGTTTTTTTGTAAATTGATGTCTTTAATATCTGATATATTAGACGGTTTTTAAAGTCAGATTATTTGTCAAGTATTGAAAATATTTGTCAGTCAAAGTCATGACAAAAGGAGTTCTGAACAGCAACAATATTAATTTTTTTATTGTCAAAGATGTTTATTAAAACATGTTTCATGATGTGTTAATAATTTTTTGACAATATATTGACTCTGATCAACATAAAATATCTCCATCGTCTATATTATTTTTTTTTAATTTTACTTTTATTAAGGGGTTAGGCTAGAAGGCTAGAACCCTCTGGGCACGGAAACGTCTTTGTTCTAGAAACGTTCGACGGTCCATCAAGTCCCGAATCAGTGACTTAACAGATGGGCTTATTAGAAAAAATCTAAGTCAAATATATCCGTCTAGTACGGTGTTATTAAGACCGTCTAGATTTGGTCTAGGATGTTATATGCGCATGCGTCGATGAATGCCCAGCTGTTAAGTAACATGGCGTCGCGTCGTTTGGCGTCGTTAGATCAGTCAGTGTATGGTACATTTTCTTTGTGAATTTTAGTATTCGTTGTGGTTTCTGTTTTATGTGAATAATAATGTGTTATGTTGTTGTTGTTTTATGTATAATTTAATTTTAAATGTGCACTGAAAAAAATAGATTTTGATTTGTTTCTATGTGTTTTGATTAGTCGGCTGAAGCTAGCAGTCGTACTCAGCATCAATGTTTAGGCGTCATCTACCAATATGCCTCTCCTTCAAATTTAGTAAAACTTAATGATTTAAAAAACCATCGAGTATTGTTATTTGAGAATCAATATCCACTAAATAGCAAATTTAGTAAGTTTTTATTTATTAATTTCATTAATTAGTGGTTGACGCCTAAAGATTGGTGCTGAGTACGACTGCTAGTTTCATCCGGGTGTTTTAATTTGCAGTAAATTTTATTTTACAAAAAGACTACTATCTCCAATGTCAAAGATTGGGAGGGACACAAAGCCTTACGCTTAAAGAAAGTTGAAGTGAAAAATACAGAAAGTTAAAATATTTTTTTATACTTTTTATAAAAAAAAAGTCATTAAAATTATTTCAAATATAATTAAGTCTTATCATTCTAAGAATAGTTGTCATAACATATAATGAGAAATTTTGAATAGACGTAGATAAGAATTTACTAGCACTGCTGATCAGACCAGAAACGCTGGTTTATTCTAGACGATAGCGTGGAAGTTTCGTTTTAATTCTGAACAGCCGCTCGACAAGACCGTCTGCCCTGGGTCTAGAAAGACGTTAGACAGTCTACTAAGCGCTTGATCAGCGCCCTAAAATTTTTCCACACGGGGTTCCAAAAACGTTTTTAGAACATAAAACGTTTTTAAGACGTTATGTGGAGGACGTGAAACGTTCTAATAACGTTTTAGGAACATTTCTAGAACAAAGATGTTTCCGTGCCCAGAGGGAATTAAACGTTTGTTGCAATTTTTGCGGAAGAAAAAGTTGGAGACTAATTATATTCAGGGATGTTTTTAGGAATGTTTCAAAGATAACAAAAAATTTCTTTTATTATTTTTAGAAAAGTATAAAAATATTGATTTATGAATATTTATCACTATATTATTTTCATTTCTTGAAGTCGGAAGTGGAAAATCTGTCAAATTTCAGATACCTAAGTCCAGGCTTATGTGGGGATGACCGATTTTGTTCTGATCGACCCACTGAACACCACCCTTGTCATATTCTGGACTTATCTTCAAACCATGAAACTATCTATTGGCTTTAAACATATCGGGGCGAACGTGCCGTTCTTCTTCCGGCCTATTTATTTTTCGTTCTAACGAGAGGTTTATTGGCTTCTTCCAGGACCTTCTGGACTTCTCAACTTGTGTAAGACAATCTAAATTGCGGATATTCAGTATGATCTCTCATTTCGCCATCTGCACATTACCGAGTCCCCATCGATCTTTGACACTTCGTTGACAAATTCTTCCTTATCTGAGGATCCTTCTATCTGAATGAGAAGATCTCCCTTTTTCGTGGGTGTTTCCGTCACCACTAATATTTAACTGGCTTTCGGATTCACATACGAAGCTTCCCCAACATCTCCGCGTATGTATAGCCTTTGGCGACTCTAACGATCAATATTGACGCTCTGGGTGTTTTGGCCTGGCTTCGACACCTCTACCACCCTGTCCATAGTAGTTTTTAGAAGCGTTCCGCCCATCTCTTGAGCCCTTTGTAGAGACAACAATTTACCTTGTGCTAAACGCACCCCTGGGTTAAGTGGGGATGACATTGAACCACTAATGTGTACGTTCGGATTATTAACCTAGGCTCAATTGACTCATGTTTCCATTATTTGGATTGTTCCGCGACATGTATTGCAGCATCGAAGAAGATGCATTTTGCTTCTCTCTTGATGTTAGATTTTTTAAGATCCTGTCAGAAACATTAGTTATCTAACAACAACTTTCGGGTCTCTCAAGTCAAATGGTGAGATTGGAATTAGGTGATGGGATCTGCTTCCATTGAAATCCTCATCTCATCTCTCTTGCTATCTTTCAACGAGTCTACATCTTATCTCTTTGTGGATAGCTGCTTTGAGGAGAGTTTTGCTCTGTTGTTCTTGAAAGTTTGCTCTATTTTTATTTATCTGAAAGACCTCATGTCTTTCCCCTTTACAAATCAATCTTTTGGGAGGAGGCTTGCAAAAACCAGAGCACTATTCGTTGAAACTGTTCTGTAAGCTCAGTGCACAACAGCCTTGAAGCACTGTCGTCACTAATCGATGTAAACGTTACAAATTAATAATAAATTTGTTTTTCAAAGAATGCAACTCCGCCAGTACTTACCAGTTGAAAATTATTACTTGGGATAAAGTAAAATGATTTTTTTCACTTTTCCAAGTATGTAGACTTTCTGAGGTTCGTGATTATACATATTCATAGAAAACGTATAGTTTACAAGAGCATTTCACGGACAAGATATTATACATAGACACAAGAGTTCTCAAATATCCGTTTGATCCGCTTAAGCAGAAACTTCATTGGATTCATCCAAGTTCACACACTGAAATATGTAACCTGAAGTTAGCTATAGGAGCATCCCATTTGGAAGAGAACCCCCTTCCACCTTTTCATTCTGTTTTCGTAATCAAGAAGCAGCTTTAGGCGAAACTAACTCTAGAAACTGGTAACTTCAAAGTTGACTCTTTCAAAGTTCACGCAATTGAGTGCTTCATGGCAAACATTTGCAACTTTCTTCAAGATAAAGAGTACAGTTATTAAAAAAATTTTAAGTCAATTTCTTTAAAACAAAAATTAACAATACTTTCATGTAATTTAAAATATTTCACATAATGTTTTTCTTAAATAATTCATATTTTTACTTTTACGTCCAAGTAATTAATTAAATAATTCAAATTTGAACAGAAATCAGATAAAAATGTTTTGAACCATTTAAAAATTGAATACAAAAATAATTTTAATATTTTTTCTGTTTCAGGTAAGTTCCACTAATTTCATGGCTCATTACATAAAGAAATATTCGCTGTGCTGAATAGTAAGTTATTTAAAAAAATTATCTAAAAATATTGGAGATTTTGAGTACTTTTTAAAATTATATATTATTATATTATATTATATTATATTATTATTTTTAAAATTATGATATAAACAGAGAGAAACTATATAAAATGACACTTCTTAGTATAAAATCTCAAAATTTAATTCCAAATCAACTGATAAATAAACAAACATGATCTCAATATATGAGTAAAAAAATTCAGGTCAACATGCGAACAGATGAGCAGTAATATTTATATGTTATAATAATATAATTATTATTATTTTCCAATTAATAAATTAATTCAAATGATAATTTATTATTCAATTAGAAGATGACTAATTGGAAATGTAATATGAAAATGAGAAATATTGAAATGTTTTTGAAATAATACTTGATTATGAGAAATATTTAAATTAAAGAAAGTTGCTCAATATTATTGATTAATTAATTAACGTAATTAGTAATATATCTACAGCTTTCATACATTATATATAAACAATTCGATAGAAATTAAAAACTAGAAATCCAAATTGCTCTTTTGTTGATGAACAGTTTCAATTTCAAATGTTGTATTATTATAACAGAGAAAATTCATTGCCAAACAGAAAATTGTTTCTGTGCCAAAATACAATATGAGTTGTATATAGAAATCTTGATAAATCAATTTATATAGAACTAACCTTTCAAATTGTTTTACAAACAAATATTAATAATATTTCTTAAATATTTCTTTACATTAATTTTTATTAAATGTGATTATTATTATTATTATTATTATTATTAATATTATTATTATTATTATTATTATTATTATTATTATTATTATTATTATTATTATTATTATTATTATTATTATTATTATTATTATTATTATTATTATTATTATTATTATTATTATTATTATTTTTAAAAAACTCTCTAAAATTATTTAATTAATATTGCTTTTAGCCAATATCATTAAAATCAGCTTCAAGAATATTAAAAAGGTCAAAAATCAATTCTATTTTTTAATCATTCAAATCAAATTGGAAGGTATTATTTTGAAATATATTTCAATAATAACTAATAAGAAATTTAAAACTAATTTCTCTCTTTTAACCTACAAAAATTGTAGTAATTTTTCAAGATTATATTTGTTTATTCACCTGTGACTGTGACTTACATTTTGTAGTGTTTGACCTAAGTTTTATGGAATAAGTTTCCTCTTTTCACCTGAAGAAATTGACCTAATTTTAGAATTTATGCAATTATTATTTTCAACAATTTTCAACTAAAATTCTTCTTTAAATCAATTATTTTTAAAAAAGTTCTTTAATAATTTTCAAATTTTTTTTTAAAAAAAATTTTCAACTAAAATTTTTCTTCAAATCAATTATTTTTAAAAAGTTCTTTGATAATTTTCAAAACTTTTTAAAAAAAATTCATTCTACTGAAATTCAAAGATATTAATTTGACACCATTTCAAAATACAATTATTTCTAAAAATTCAGCCTATATTGCTTAATTTAATATTCAATTATAATCTAAAATTTTAACTGAAATTAATTTTTAAATCAATTTTTATTAAAAAATTCTACGAGAATTCAATTATTTAAATACAAATACATAGATAATTTATAGAATAATTGAATGAATTCATTTTTCTTTTGGAGGTTGTCGCTCCTTTCTGCCTCCTTAATTTTATAATATTAATAAAGGTTATAATTTTTTATTTCAAATGTATAAGTAATAATTAATATTTATTTAATAAATATTTTATTCAAATTTATTAATTATGTTTAAAAAATAGTTATTAAATATTGAAGGTGTTAAATTTAACAATCTCTCAGAATTATTTTCTCACTCTAAGCTAATATAATATAAAATAATTATTATTATTAAAATAATATAATATATATACAAACCAAATGATAAATTCATCCTATAAATTAATAATTATTAAAATTCATTAAGTTTAATTTATTAATAATTGTTTATTTATTATTTTTTAAATTCATAATTTTTATTTTAAAATAAATGTATAATAATTAATTATTTAATAACTATTATTATTTGTTATTTATAATTTATTTGTTATTAATAATCAATAAACTTTATTATAATATTGTACTTAAAGAAAAAAAAAATTATATGTATTTTCGTTTTTTAAATATATTACCATAATTATTTCATAAAGTTTTTTAAAAGAACACGCTTTTTTAACTTAAATAACTGTTTTAAAAAAATTAATTTTAAAAAATTAAATTTATTTACATACTTTTAAAACGAGGAAAACTGTCGAGGCCCTGATCAGTACCCTATCTAAAATCTAATGAACACCCTACCTGGGGTTCTGGCTAGGAATTCTAGTCAAACCCCTAAAATAAAAAAATTATTAAATAACTAAAATAATGATTGCCTTTCATTGTTAATATCTTCTACAACAAAAAGGAATTCTATAAATTTTTTTAAAAATAAAAATTTTAATAGGGAAAACTGTCGAGGCCCCGACCAGAACCCTGTTTTAAATAGGGCAAAGTGGGGCATTTTCTGCACGGGATATGAAAAGTGCTTTATAAGTTTTCTATTGGAATAGAGTATTAAAATAGGTATACCTATATACAATGAAGAAAATCGATTGAGTTTAAGAGAGAATCATGTTTAAAAAGTTGATATTATAGGATATTAAAAAAGACCCATGAGATTCGCGACTTTTAAATTAAAGAGGTGGACATGGAAGTAAGCTTTCATTTAATCATTATTATCGGTCTTCATACCGACTGATCATAAATCTGCTCGTCACTGCAATTTCAAAACGATGTCCCCGATGATATATGATAAGCCATTGCGACCTAATTTTGGATCATAGGTGTATATATATATATACTATACGTGAAAATGAAACGAGCCGGGCAATTAGTGTAATTAATGACGAGATAAGTGCGGAGAGTCTTAAGATATGGGCGTAATCCGATTTCCAAAAGGTTTCTCTCGATTTACAAATGTAATTTATACACCCTCTTCATAACTGATAATGATTACGATGTAGTATTCATATAATTATTTCATTTATTTCCCATATATATATATATATTGTTCCATTTTTATCTTTGTAGAAAACAGAATTATTAAAAATTGATGAAAAATTGTTTTACCAAAAAAATGTAGAAGCAACTTTTTGCATATAAAGAAATATTGATATCATGGTTGCAGTAGAAATAAATGATTTAATATTTCTTTTTGCTTCACTCCTGAGAAAAAGGGTCATAAAAATTGTAGAAAAAAAATGAAGTGTACGTTTTGTGAAGTTGAATTTAGACGCTCTAGTGTTCAACTCGATCCAATTTTCCTTTACAGTGCGCGTATTGCGTAATAATATGAAAAGGTACTACTGCATTGAATACATAAGTACTTCCGGGCCCGTGTATAAAAGTTAAGAAGTTATATATTCGTGGCTGAAAAAATTAGTTCTCTTTATACTCTAGAGTCGTAAATTCTCAAGTATTTTCTTGTCTCGTAATACTCTTAAGTTAAGACCAGATTAAATATTTTTTTTTCTATACAAAAATACTTGGCAAAATGCTAATTACTTCTTTTTCATAAATATTATTTTTCATTATTATAATTATTCATTTTCAGTTTATGTATAAATTATTCTTTGACTACTAAAACCTCTGCACTGTACAATTGGTTCAGGAATAAATAATCCTTTTAAGTTTCAAAATTATTGTACAAATATTTAAAAATTTTTTCCAGTGAAGTATTTAAGAAACAATTATAATCATTTAGCAAAAATTTTTTAAAACGAAAAATTTTCGGCATCAAAAATAAATGCTTTTAATTTTTTTACAAATAATTTCAAGATTTTGAGCTATATTCTTGTCTAGAAACTAAATTTGCAAAGCAAATAGATTTCAGCTGAATGCCTCAAACATACAAAAGAAAACTTTGCTTTTAAAATATCTTTATATTTTTTCCTCTACAGTCAAGTTTCTTGTAAAACTTTTTGTTTGGAATTATTTTTGTAAAACTCACTTTAATATTTGATGAACTCAAGAAATAAAAAAAACAATTTCCAATTTATTTCTTCTTTTTAAATTTTCTATAAATTATCGATAAATAATTAATTAACCTGTAATTAGTCGACTGCTAATTAGAAAAAAAATAAAATGAAACACAAAGTTAAAAGGAATACTAGAGCGAATATTGGAAAAATTTAAGATAGTTTGATATATTCGATAAAATTATTTTTATATTATTATCAATGTCGCAATAAAATCGCTCATTTAATTATAGAAATAACATATTCAAGATTAAATTAAATGGAAAATGTTTGAATAGTAACGGCATTAATTTACATAAGGTCAAGTAAAATATTTTTATTTTGTGTAAACTTTTTTGAATAGCAATCAATTTAGGTGGGGGAAAATAATAAAAACCGAATAAAAAAGATAGAAGAAAAAATAAATATTGACTATAATGATGAAAAAAACGTAAGTAACAAAATAATAATAAAAGAAAGAATTCTGTTAAGTTTATTCAAAATTTTTTATACTTTTATCAGAATTTAAGCAAAGAAAACTGATAAAATAGGAACTTTTTGACATTTAGTCAAACGTAGAGCCTCACAGTAAAACGTGACGTGTTAAAATAACACCAGAATGGATTAAAATAATCTGCAACAGTTTAATCCCTCTAGGATTAAATTAACACCAGAAAGGATTAAAATAATCTATTTTGGTGTTATTTTTAACTATGAATGAAATTTTACTTTAAATAAAACACCAAAGTCAACGATTTGTAAAAATTCAACATTTAATGATTTTTAATGATTAAAAAATTGATCGAAAAAAATGATTGAAAAACAAAAATTTCAAAAAATGATTGAAAATATCATTTTTAATGATTCTCCAGGGAAAATAGTAAGTTAGTACACTACCGTCGGGAATTATCGGTACGGCTACAAGCGCACGGCCCAAAAACATACCAATCTATAAATCACGATTTTTTTGTAA